CCCTCGAGCGTGCTGTTTCTCACTGCGGGGGCGACGCCTTGGAAGACGAGCGCCCCGTGGGCGCAATCTTTGGACCATCGACCCTGCTCTCCCTTCGGGGAGGGGTCGATCACTGCTGCTTCAATGAAAAAACAAAAACTCCCCAGAACAGAACCCAGAACAGCGCCAACACCCTCCCACAGTCTCTTGCGAAAAGCATCACAAAGTGCATGCTGCATCGAAACCTGGATCATGCGCGGACGCACCGCGATCACGTTGCATTGGCTTTTTACGGGTACGGCGGAGGGGCTGACAACATTGCCTGCTGTGTGCAATGCCAACACCCCCCACAATCCTCGGCAAAAAACATCACAGAGTGGACTTTGCACAAATTTCTGGATCATGCGTGGGCGCCCCGCGATCACTCTGCACTGTTTTTTTTTTCCAGGGACGGCGGAAGGGACCAGCATATTGTCTGCTGCGTGCAGGCCCACCATCTCTGTCAAGGGAAGAATACAAAGGACACCCTGCCAGGGAGGGTTGGAGTGTCGGCATTTTGCCAACTGTGTGCAGTTGGCCAGGCGTCGGAGTGCTGCACTCTGTCGTGTTGTTGCGCATCCTACTGCTGGGACCTGCCGTGCGACTGAGTGTTGCACTGCTGGCAGACACCATCGTGACAACCATCGGCTCCTGATCATGCTGTGTGGGCGCGCGATGCCAGGGGAAACACGCTTTGTCAGTCGGTGCCAGTGCTTTGCGCTTCCTGGTGGAGCCACTCTCTTCACTGAATGATTGGCACTTCGCTTGACGGGGGATCACACCACATGAAACTATGGAATCGCTTCGCTCATTCCGCTGACTCATATTGCCTCGCCTCTGTCGTATGTCGGGGAAGGGTTGTCAATGCGGTGCGGTTGGGCGGCTGACAGTTTCCGGAGGCAGTGGGTGGCGGGTCAGAGGCCTCACGGATGTTGGTTGGGCTCTCGTGGTTGGCCTCTCAGGGGCCTTTGGGAGGCTTTTTTGATGCCTCTTGGGGGCCGTGTTGGGGCCTCTTGGGGCCTCCTGAAAGCCTCTTGGGGTTTCTTGGGGTGCCTCTTGGGGGCCCCTTGGGGCCTCTTGGGGGCCTCTTGGGGCCTCATGGGGACCTCTTGGGGGCCTCTTGGGGCTGAAGACTGGACTTTTCGGTTCCTGATCCCCTTCTTGGGCCCCTCTTGGGGCCGTTTTGGGGCTCTGTTGGGCCGTCTTGGGCGCCTCTTGGGCTGCCTTGGGGCCATCTTGGGCCGTCTTGGGGCCCTCTTGGAGGCTACGTGGGCCGTCTTGGGGCGGTCTTTCAAGCCTCTTGGGCCGTCTTGGAGCGCTGGTAAGCCGAAAAGGCAAGAACGCCAAAAACCGCCAGAAACTGTAGGAAAATCACTAATTTCTGCCGCTGTGGCCCCTCTTGGAAGGTCTCTTGGAGACCTCTTGGGGCGTCTTGAAGGCGCTTTGGGCCGTCTGGAGGCCATATTTGGCGTCTTGGATCGCCGTCTCGGACCATGTTGAGCTTTTTTTTTTATTTTTTCTTTTTTGTTTCACGCCGGGCGCTGTCGCTTGGCTTCCGGTCGGGGCGCAAGAGACGGCGAAACTTGATGGATCCTGCAGAGCCAAGGGCGCATTGACCAGGGCTTGGTTGCAAGATCCTGCCAGGGGCCTTGACTGACCCGGATTCGGATTGCCCCCAGTGAGATTCGCCCCCACCTGGGCGCAGAGAGATTCGCCCCCCACCTGGGCGCAAGAGCTGGGCAGGGCTGGGGGGGCCGGTGAGATTCGCAGGCCCAGGGGCCCAGTGAGATGCGCCCCCACCTGGGCGCAGGAGCTGGGCAGGGCTGCAGCGCGGGCTGGCCTTGGGCGGCGTAGATAGAGAGGAGTCCGAGGTGCAACAGAGAATCATGAGCCCAGGGAGCGAGGCTCAAGCCTGGATGTCTCACCCGAACCCTTCCAGCCGCTCTCGGAAAGGCACCCCGACAACGAACGAATCAAACATACGTGGCTCAATTGAGGTCGGCGGCAGAGGCTGTTGCGGACGTCGCCACGAGGGCACAAAACGCGCTCGAGGCACCCGAGCCGACCCCCAGAGGAGTATAGGCCAAAGGCTGCAGAGTGCAAACCAAGATAGCACCGTCGTTGCCCTCTTCGGGGCACTCGGGTATCAAAAGCAGCGCGAAGAACATGCACAAACGGTGGCTTGGTATATTGCAGAAAGCGAAAACCCGAAAACGGCCATTAGAGCCCATTCCCCCGGCCTAACCCCCTCCCCTGGAACCCCTCCCTCCTCTGTAGCCATTTTGGCCCAACCGCCCCGCTGTATCGGAGGCGTTGCTGTGCCCTTCCGCTGAAGCGGCGCCGCTTGCGTCGCGCCTGTCGCCCTCCTGCAGTCGGCCGGGTGTCGACGCTATATAATCACCGGCGCCGCCGCCGCGCGCTGCAACTTGGCGGGCGCCCCCCCCCCAAGAGATTCGCCCGAGCAGAAGAACCATTTGTTTAATCACGCGCCCCCCCATACCTCCGTTAATCACAAGCTGACATTCGTGCGGCTGAGATCCGCCACCGTGCCTCTGGAACGAAGTGGAGCGCCCAAGGCTCATAGCTGTGCGGCTGATGCATCGGCCCTTAAATACCACCCTTCAAAACGGGTGACTGTAAATGGGTGCATCTAAACGGGTGAACTTAAACGGGTGAAAAAGCATGATCCCCCAAAGGCGCTCCTGGCGCCAATCGACGGGGCCAGATGGTCTCCAGTCGGAGGAGCGCCAAGTGAGACAACCGCGGCCCTCCCCCCCTCAAAATCCGCCCCCAAAGGCCGGGGGGCGGGGGTCCCAAGGTGCCCCATGGCGCCAGGTGCCCCCAAGATGCCACCAGCCGCGAAGCGCTCTCCGCGAGCGCCCCGGCACGCTCTGCGCCCAGCGAGCGCCCCGCGAGCGCCAGCGTGGCTCGCGCGCGCCCGTGGGAAAATGAAAGGCCAACTCACCCGGCGAGCGTGCTGCGTCGGTTCGGGCGCATGGGAACGCGGACGAACTGCCCGAACGAGCCGCGAACCTTGGTGGTCCCTGGACAAGTCGACGAGCTCTTGAGCATCACTCTGGACTCCGAGGTCGCGCGCGGGAGCGGGATCTGCCGACCATGGTGGAACACAGCGGGCCTGCAATGATCTGGCACGTCCTGCTTGTGCATGATGGCCTTGTTGTGATGTCGCGCAACGTTCGCCCAGAATCCCTGCACTTCTGCCCAACTCATTGCACGCACATTGTGGCATCCAGGTGCTGGCCACGATGCGAAACCGTCGAAGACTTTTTGAAAGCGCACTGCGTGCTGATGAGTCAGCAAATTCACAAACGCATGGCTGGAAATGATCAGGGGCTGCCTGATCTCGAAGACAAAAATCAAGTAGACAGAGCGGCCCACCGTGCCACGGCGGCCTCCTGCACAGTAATACCAGCAGCTCCACATGCAGCAAGCTGGTCAGCACGCTCATTCTGAAATTGTCCAGTATGAGAGTTGATCTTCTTCCAGACAATAATCGAATGAACACGATCAAGGATTCGCCGAGATCTCAAGACCAGGGTGAGATTACGACGTGGCCGCGCTCGGCGGCGAATCACATCAGCAGCATACTCAGAGCCATATTCAAGTACAAATGATATGCCACCAGCTGGAGCACGAGCACGCTCATATTCATAGATCCAGCAGAGTGCAAAATAGATGCCAGCAAGTTCCCCCGCGTTGTTGGAATGGTGCGAGGCACCCACAAACCCAGGAACATGCTGAGATAGAATCGACGGCCCACAAAAGTCGAGTAGAGCAGGCCATCCTTCACATGCAATACAAAAGCCCCAGCCCGACGCGACATCGTGCACGTCGCTGTGGAAAAAAACCGTCCGAGGATAATGTGATCTGAGCAGGCGCACGGAATGCTCCAGGGCCTGGCTGCTGGAGAAGCTCATCACGCCGAGGAGCAGGCCCAGGACGAGGAACATGCAGAACTCGCGGCCGAGGCAGCGGTGGAAGAGCATGACGATAAAGATCAGAAGCGGGCTGCGAGCGGGGGACATCCAGGGACAAGGATATTGGACGCCCTGCACGTCGGTCAACCAAAGCTTGCGTAGCAATTGCATTCACACGTAGGAGGTATTGTGAAACAGCAACAGCATCAGCCAGTGAGACGTTGCCAGGTAGGTGCTCAGGAACAAGGCCGCAGCGAGCAAGACAGGCAGGTAGTTGCACAGGGAACATGTCACCAGGAACCATACCATCAAGGTGAGCGCGTTCAGCTGCATTGCGAGGGCAATCCCACAATCTGTGCATGGTCGTCTCGACTTCCGAGCCGCATCTCGGGCAGAAGCCATCAGAGTCACTGAACGGGATCCGTGAGATAGCCAGCGATGTCCACAGGCCCGCCGACAGCAGAGCAGGCCCACCAAAGTACAGGGTCATACTATGATGGTGAAGGCGGACATCAGCTTGCTCACAAAGCCCGCATTCAAGTCCAGCAAAGTCCTCAGGCCGACGCAGGGCCTCTCCACGAGCCACAACATACCGTAAGAATGCACATAAGTCGTGGAGGTGCTTCTTTACCTTCGCCGCACGGCTGAGGGTGCGAGCTGTAGAGCGGTGAGCCTGAGCAAGAAGACCAGGCCTCAGGCTGAAACGAAATACACGCCCATTGCAGGAAAACGAAGTAGCAGACACCCAGGCGATGTCGAGGTGACGACAGGCACGCAACAGCTGTACCGCAGGACCTGCACGCAGGGAAAGGCGATGCTGATACATGAAGGCCCAGTCGGCATGCGAGATGATACCTGCAAGTAACATATGATAAACCTGGCGGACAACTGTATGAACAGAGGCACAAGCCATATCAGTACGATGAAGTCCAGGACCGAGCACGTGCGTCAGGGCACGAGAGTGCCTGCTGACAGTCCCAGCACGAGCACGGCCCATCAGGGAAACAGCAGCATGATGGCCTAGCGTCATGAGCTGTGCCTGGGTCAGTGCGTAGCCTCCTTCAGCCCAAAGGGCAGCAACTGCGTCAGCAACGGCAGCACCACGTTGGACCACAGGGAGGTGTTGAACAATGCTCGCACGAGCCGGGAATGCGCCAACTCGTCGAGGAGCGACCGTCACGGTAGTACTGCAGCCACTCACAAGATCAATCCCAAGATATCTGAAGGATTTCTTCGCAGGAATCTGAGCCAACTCAGGAAAAGTGCATCGCGCCGGCTTCCGACCGCGAGTCTGAACCAATCCGCGAGCACACTTAGGCAGGTTGAGTATGGGGCCCAGAGCACACTCCAGGTCCATAGTAGCAAGGAGAACCTCGTTGAGCGCCGCCCACGAGTCAGTGAAAATCAGCCGATCGTCAAGGTACGAGTAGTGTAGTGCCCCAGGGACTCGACGTTGAAGCTGAAGATGCCATAACGTCGAACCAAGATTACAAAAGAAACAGGCCAGCGGGCAACCTTGAGGGACACCAAGTAGGTTCGGGCCAGCCAACCAGACATCTGAAGGTTGATTATCTACAAAGAGTAATCGGGTGAGACCACGATAGTTCTGAAGAACCGCCGCACAGACATGGAGGCCCAGGTGGGCCGCAATCAACTCCAGGTTCGGCAAGTCCAGCCTGTCGAAGCACTTCTCGAGATCCATAGAAGGAATATGGCGTGGCGGCAATGAGCCGAACCTTGCCTTCGCGAGCTCCGTCTGCACGTGCCAGAGGATCTCGGGACAGCTGCGGTTGGGCATGGCGCCCGCAAGACCAGCAGGTTTCCAACTCATCAGCCATGTATTCAGGGAACGGAATGACGTTTCGCCCACAGCCTATATGTGATAGCCATGACCGTAAGAGGACGTCGATCACCAGGAGGCGATCCAGGTCCTTTTGGAATGAGCGCAACACGAGCATGCCGCCAAAAAGAGGGCAGCCGTCCACGATCAGCTTCATTAAGTAGCATAGCAAGACGCTCGAGCGAATGACGGCGAAGATGATCGAGCCACTCAGTACGATGACCGTCGAGGCCAGGCGCCCCGCCAGGCATATATTCCAGGATGTGCCCGGGAGTCCAAGGACCAGGCGGAATATAGTCAGGAAACCCTTGCAGCAGCGATAGATCCACCGGCGGGCGGACCACACGTGGAGGAGCAGGACAATGAGGACGGAGAATATCCATATCTAGAGCATGTCGAGCAAATTCAACAGACCAGCCAGGGAGATGCATAACTTGATACACGCCAGCGTTCCACCGCCGAGCCAATGATTCGCCTAGCCGCCGAGCAAGCTCACGCGATGAAAACGTGACTTCATCAATAGACGGCAACGTGGCCTCTTGGAGCGCAGCAACTTTGGACTTGACCCAGCGAGCGGCACCACTGCGAGTCGAAATACGTTCACGCCAAGACCTCAACCGCATAGTAGTAGCGTCGTCGATAAGCGAGGTAATATAGCCGAGGGTACACTCAGCTGCCTCCCGCCGATCATCATGAAGTTGCCTGCGAAATGTTTTCCAGAGCCCGTCAAGCTCCGCCGCGCGCGGGCCCGCCAGCCAACCCCCGCGAGAGGGTTGCCGACGGATCTGCACCTGTGGAGCACCAGCTGCATCTTGCCAAATCCGCCAGGCCAGATCAATATCATGAGGTAGAGCACGTTCGAAGGAGGAGACCGCGGCAGCAGACCACTCGCCCATAGCCACAGGCTCGTCTATAACCCATCTGAGCGGATCATGTAAATCTGGCCGCAGCCCCATGGGATACAACCACAGGGCGACGTTGAGCACCCTCGACTGGCGGCAGCACGGTAGCAGACGCCGAACCAGCCAACAACGTTGAGATCACCGCGCCATCGATCGTCGTCACCCACTCGGAGGTGGCGGGATTAGCACGGAAGGTAGCACACGATGGAAAGACAGCAACATGATCACACCCGTCTTCTAGGTAAGGCCTTTCGTTAAAGTCACCAATATCCCAGGTCAAGGTGTGCTGCGACTCAAGCGCGAGGGAACCGTCGAACCTACGCCTCTCAGCAGCACTGCCAGAATGCGCATGACGGTGGCGGATCAAAATACGATGAGCACCCAATTGCATGGCAAGTCGTTGCACTCGAAAATCTGCGTCAGCATCTGTCGCAGCAATCGGAGCTACATTAAGCCCATGGCGCGCCACGGTACAAAGCCCACGCTTTCCCACCAGCACATAGTAGCCGAGGGAAGCGAGGTCAGCACGTAAGGTATGCACCTGCCCATGAGGAAGAGCGCACTCTTGAAGAAACAGAAAGTGAGGGAGATGCTCGCCCAGCAGGGCGAGGAGTGCAGTACGTCGGTAAGTATAGCTGCCAACGTTGAAGGTGACAGCCGCGAGCGTGATCGCGACCATGGCGATTACTTCTGGATCTCCGTCAACCTCGTCGTCCGACGCAGGTTGTTGGCAGTGCGAACGCGCGCTCGGCGGCGCTCAGCATCATCCCGAAGAACACGGTGGACAGCCTGCTGCAGAAGAGCCGCGCGCTCCGAGGGGCGCAGCTTCTCACCCGCAGCCTTCAGAGTCGCAGAAGCCGCGGAGCAGCAGCCATGGTGGTTGCGATACCAAGAAATCAAAGAACGAGTCGAAGTCTAGCATCCTGTACATCGTAACCGAGGAGCACGCCAGATTCCCGCAGGGGCGTCGGCGGGGTCGACTTCGAAGCGACACGTCCAGCCAGGCACTCGCTGTCCAAGGGCAGCAACACGCGCCAGATGATCAGCACGGCGCGTGGCATAGATCTTGGCACGTACCCCAGGGGACTTGCTGATAGCAGAGAGGCGAGAGCGATGAGCAGCACCAGTGGAGCGGCAAGCCTCTAAGAGCTTACGCACGTCATCGCCATGAGACAGCAGATGAGCTCGTCGCGACGCTTCAGGGGCACGCCTGTCACACGAGAGCACGCACGGGCAGAGCGGGCACTTCCAATCCTTGAGCGTAAGACCCCAAATACCCAGATTATATTATTGAGTTCGCTGGTGTCGAGCTTCGCGCCGAGAGGCCCAGGACCGCATGATGCCCAGAGCACGAAGCTCAGCGACTCGCTCAGTACGTGTATTCGAACCCGCCGTGCCTGCCCATGTCGCGCACGAGGCAGCTACGCAGAAACGCTCAGGAGCACACGTGGCCCCATCTCCCAACCAGTAGCGCGGGCACCGAGAACACTTGACGCCGTGAGGGAGGAGCTCAGGAGAGCAACACCACGGAGTCGTACGTGCGATCCCACGGAGCTGAGTAGCCTTCTGGAGTCTGGCGGGGCCCCAGTCGATCGGCTGTGACTTCTGTAGTTCAGAATAATAAGCAGCAGGACGTTTGCGAGGGCATATGGCACGAGCACGTTGGACCTTGCTGTTGGTGAAGGTCGATGCAGCACCTGCCTGTTCGCCCTGAGCGAGCCGAACAGCCTCAGCGTTAGCACGAAGACACTGCAGTGCAAGGCCTGGCGCCTGCCGCCAAGAGACGGGGGGCCGAGGCGCGAGCGTAGCAGACCGCGTCGTCACCGCCCTCGCCCGCAACGTAGCAGTAGGGGCTCCACCCGAGCCCAAGGCGACCTGAGGTAGAGTCGCCACAGAAGGAGCGCCACGGGAAGCCGCCCCCAAGGTGCGCGCGGACGCTGGCCGAGCAGGAGGCGTCGGCGCGACTCGTGAGGATCTCGTCGTTGAAGGTGCTCCGCTGGAAGCCGCTCTCAACGTGCAGGCAGGAGCAGAGCCCGACGAGCGGCCACCGCCCTTGAAGGACCAGTCACGCAGGTGCTTGCCAGAGTCCAAGGCGCACTGATGACAAGGATCAACTTTTTCGATGTGCTGCCTGCGAGCAGGAGAGCAGGCAGGATCGGCATTATATTCAAAAGGTTCGTAATGTTTGTCACGGAATAGCATCCATATCAGTCCCTTCCCCTTCCCAATCACAACGGTAGGCTGGCTGGGACGAATGACCACAATCTTCAGAGCCCACTTGTCAGCAGCAGCAAGGAGATCAAGCTCTCCCATCCACGCGTCGGGCTTCCCAAAGGCGGCTAGGTAGGCCGTCCAGGACGCGCACGGCTTACCTTTGGGGTCCATGCGGTCCCAGAGCGGCTCGAGGATAGCGGACTTCTTTTCCATGTGAGCAACAAGTTGAGCACGCAGAGCACCAGGTTCATGGGTACTTTTCCAAGCCCGCTTGAACCAGCAACTCAAAGTATGAAAGCCACAAGCTCCATCAGTCGGAACGCTGACGCCCTTGAGGCCCAGAGCATCAAAGGCTTCCACACTCTTGGTACGATCATCGGCGGCAGGCGCACCAGCGCCCGCTTCAGAAGGAGCAGCAGCTGCATCAGGACTCATCTTCTGGCGCTTCGCAGTCGAAACTTCCGTAGCAGTAAGGTCACTGGCAGCAATTGGCGCAGTCTTGTCCGTAGACGTCGCAGGAGGGCCCCAACGCATATCACTCGGCTTGAGATTTCTGGAACTCTTCGCCTTCGGAGGGGGGCGGAAGGGCTCGAAATTCACGTAATAGTCATGATCGTCACATGATGCACGTACCGTGGCCGCCACATTCGCACCTCCAGGGTTACAGCCACAGAAGATAAAGGAAGCCTGCCGGGAAGTTGCACGCCGCCGAACGGTGTTCAAGTCAATCTCAGGCCAGCCATTCTCTTTCAGCCATTCACTGAAACCGGGGATCGTGATTGAGGGAGGCAAGCCAGAGACCTTCCAGGAAGTCGCATTCGTGCCGCCCACAGAAGCGGCATTGGAAAACGCCAAGCCCACACATGGTGAAGCCTGCTCTGCCAGCCCACGAGCGCGGGCAAGAAGATCAGGACCAGCTTCCCCGTCGAGACGCTTGACCCACTTGATTTGCCCAACTGGGGGCGGAGGAGCACCATCTTGAGGAAGAAGGCGACAGAGAATACCAGCGAGGCCGGTGCCGCCTCCACAGTAGAGACATGCTGCGCTAACATGCGGACATTGATAGAGATGATCTCCCCGTCTTCAGAACGTCGCGGGCTGAAGAGATCAACAGCTGCATCCTGAGGTAGGTGTAGCGTCCGTAGCCAATCCGTCGCCGCAACTTTAAAATTGGAGCTGTGCTTCTTCCACGTGGCACGTGTGACGAGGTCCTGGAAGCAAGCCAACCGCAGCACCTTCGTAGCCTGTGCCGTCGGCAGGGCCTTCCCCGCCTGAGGCTCCCACTTGAGATGGGGAGTCGTGGCACCAAACTGTCGGACAAAAAGGGGCGTCACCCGTAGGACTGCTTTCGAGCCCAGAGCAGGTGCACGAATTGGGACTGATCCATCAAGCTGCCTGTTCAGGACCACAGTGACCGCTGCGCCCTCAGGGAGCTGATAGCCCAAAAGTCCATCAGGATAATGACTGACTACACCCACGACAAAATGTTGTTTCTTCTTAATCGTGAACAACTCATTGAATGCATCCGTCAAGAGCTTGCCGTGCCAGTGGTCATCCACCAGCGTCGTGGGCGTGAAGGCGGACGCCTTGCGCACCACTGCCGCATAGTCTGTCTGGTCACCCAATTCAGTAGCTTGAGTTTTCTTAGCAGGAGAAGCCGATGCCTTAGCTTTAGCCTTCTTAGCAGGAGGAGCTTGAGCTTTCTTAGCAGGAGGAGCCGACTCAGAAAGCTTCCATGCAGCAGCAGCGGCAACAAGACGTTGAAGTTGGTCTAATAACTGCGATGCTGTGATGGGAGGCTTGTCCACCTTCGGTGCCATAGCACGGTGAACAGTACGTTGAAGAGCGCCAAGCAGTCCATCCTCCTTCTTGCGCTCACGCTGGGCCCTCTTGCGCTTGGCCTTAGAGGGGCGCGACGCCGATGGAGCAGCCGAGGGAAGGGTAGCCGATGGCGTTGACGAGGAATGGGCACCAAACTTCTCCAACAGGGCCTGCAAGCCCTGCAGCAGCTCCTTTTCCTTGGCCTTGGCGGCCCTGGAGTGTTGACCACCATCACCCCCACCACCACGCATCAAGGACCCGAGCCGTCGGCTAGATCCCAGAGAGCGTGACGGACGGCCCCACGAACGAGGCCAGGCCAGGTAGAACAGCACGACGGTCGTCATCACGACGAACACCCAGCACAGGATCTGCAGAGGCTCCAGAGACACCACTGCCGAGGCCCAGTCACAATACTCATATTGAGAGACTGCTGCCAGCCGTAGAATCCGATAGTACACAGACTCAGAAGACATAGCCACACCATCCCAGACCAGGAAGGGAGATGAGCACAGGCCTCCGCATAGCAGACATGCAGAGACACGCTGAGGTAGAAGTCCTCGGAGCAGGAGCTTACGAGGGCGGAGCCGCCACCGACGACGCAGGTCGGGAGCCCGTCCACCACGCACACGCCGAGCAGCAAGAATGCGCCGCCCGCTCTTCAAGAGATAGCCTCGCCGAAGACGAGATGAATCTGCATATCGATGAGCTGGCACCTGGAAGGTTGGAACCAGTCGTGCTCGCCATCTGCGAAAGAGCCCCATGCAGACGATGATGAGCACGCTCACGAGGAGGATATTAGGAGAGCTGTTTCCCCTCAAGCCACTCTCAAGCATGGATACGAACATAATATGTATCCAACCCCAGACGGCATCCACAGATGGCCGCATAGTAGTAGATGTTGAAGATGTCATGAGCCCACTTGTGCAGGGAAGCAGGCTCATAATCACGAGGCTCCAGGCCAGGCTCGCAATCCCAGAAGTACGTGTAGTCGAGACTCTTGGCGTCCTCGTCAGACGAGGCCCCGCACTGCGCGTGTCCCTGAACGGGTCGGACGCGGTCTCCAGCAGGCAATTCACAAACGCATATCCGAAATTGCTCGCAGATGCGAAGTTCGTGGGAGGATACAAGAAGTCGAACTGCTCCGCGAAGCCCTTGCTGTTAACCAGATCGACCAGCTCGTCACGGATGAGAGTGGTGGGCAGATTGCGCATCAATACCGTGGTCCGCTGGTCGGCGCTCGAGCCCATTTGATCGTACACCACTCTTGGGACAAAGGCAGCCGCCTTCGCGTTCAAGGGCGTGCGCAGACTGCCCGACTCCTGCCCAAAGAGCGCTACATCCAGCTGTAAAGTCTGCACCTGCACGGGACACGTCGCTCCGCTGGAAAGCTCCGCAACGTCCCTGGCATCCTCGCAGATCCGGATCTCCTTTCTGACCGATACACTGGAAAACAAGCACGACGAATCGATGCAATCGCTTGGCGTAGGTACATCACCAGGCGCGGTTGCCTTTATCATGAAGGACGCGTCTCGAGACATCGTGGCGTTCGAACAGGCGCACACCACGTTGTTCGGTACCGGCTGAAAAAGGAGTTACCAAGCCGTGTGTTATGCTGTCGAGTGGGAAATGTGAGGTATCACAGTGCACACGATTTGGACGTCGGGCCCAGCTGGTTGGAGCTAAACTTGAGCCGAAATGGCTACGGAGACCTGTCGAGCTCTCTTGGAGGCCACTTGAAGCGCTCTTGGGAGCCTGCTGGGACCTGGGCGGAACCCCGGGAGCGGCCAAGAGGGGGGTGTCCAAGAAGGGGGGGTGCAGATCATGACCGGCGGCATGTGCGCGGCCCAGCGGGGGGGCCTGGGACGTAATGAAACAAGAAGAGGCGCCATAAAATCTGGGGAAATATCATGGCCCGCTCCATGATATCCACCCCCCCCTAGTCATCACCCCCCTCTTTTCCGCTCCCAGCGGGAACTGCCCGGGATCCTGCCGGGACCTTGCCGGGACTTGCGGGGGTGCTTCTCGTCCCGAGGCCCCCGGGGGCGGGCCCGCGCGCGCGAGCTAGAGATGTTGTGAACCACTTACCGGGGATCTCAGCACGCCCTTGGCCCGCTGGGCCAGCGAACTGAGACTCGGGTCCTCCGCTCGGGTGCTGCCTTGTATGTTGGGAGGGCGGGTGGGAGTGAGCCCACCCGCCCTCCCAACATACATGGATCGAGAAGGATCGAAGATGGACGAGGGTGGAGGATCGAGGAGAATCGAGGATCGAGGAGGATCGAAGATCGAGGAGGATCGAGGATCGAGGAGGATCGAAGAGGATCGAGGCCTGGACGAGAAGCCCACGGTGGCAAAACTGCACGTTCCTGGATGGGGCGGGCTGTCAGGCCCCCGTCGGCCTCCGCGGGCGATGGGTGGTCGATGCGTCCCACTCGGAGCCTGTCCCCAGCGTTGAGGCGGCCAGGGGGGCCGAATCGAACTGAGAACCGATAGCCGTGACCGAACCGAACCGAGCCAGAACAAAACAGGAAGGAAAAGAAGCGAACCGACTTCTCTCAGAACCGAACCAGGGGGAACCGAACCGAACCAAAACCTGAACCGAATCGGAACCGGGTGGCCCTCGAACCGAACCGACATGAACCGAACCGGACGTCCCAACCAAGCCCACACAGGACCGCAGACCGACGACCCCCCGTACCCAACCACCGTGGAAGACGACGAGGCGTGAGGCAGCCAGTGCCGAAGCTTGTGCCAATAACACGAAACGTTTGAACCGAACTGGCAACCGAACCGCCCAAACTGGACCATCTGAAACTGAACCGGCCGGTACGAACCGAACTGGCCGATCGAAAGCGGCCCGAACGGCCAACCTGAACCGGTGGAACCGAACCGGTCCCCAGGTGCCGCACTCGGAGACCCTGACGCCGCTCTAAGGGACCCCACGAAACGGCCCAAGAGGGCTCCAGGGCGGCGCAGGAGGGTTCAAGATGGCCCGAAGAAGGCCCCCAACAGGCTCCCCAAAGAGCTTCGCGACGCCCCCAAGAGACTCCCCAAAGAGCTTCGTTTCGCGACGCCCCCCGACAGAGGAGAGAGGAGTGAGGAGGCAGGGAGGAGGGAGGAGTCTGAAATGACTCTGGTAGGTCATATTGCATTAAATACCATGTCGAAGGACTACGATATGGGGTGTGGATGAATAAGATAGGATAGGATAAGATCGATGTAGTGATCTTTCCAGCACATAGCGAATACCAAGTCAGGTATCCGGGCAAATAGGGCGCGCGTGCCTTGAGCCATAAGGCAGCGACGCGCAGGCTATACTCCCGATTCTCTATCACATCTCCCAAAGAGCTACCCTTAAAGTCGAAAAAAAAAAAAAAAAAAAAAAAAAACGGAGAGTAAAGCCGCGCGGTCGCTAGGCTCTCGACAGGCGCGCAATTCTGTTTGCAAGGAAAACAATACACGCAGTCTGGTCAACCACCAGACTGAAGGGCGAGATTATTCGCCGGCGAGTTTCCTCGCAAAACTTTTCCACGCGCGCGCAGGATAGCCCCTCGGATATACAAGGGCTATCGGCCCGGCTAGAGGTAAGCCAAACAGGCTATCCCCCTCCGGGCAAAAGGGTATTAAGGCAAAGAGCCTGAACCAATCTGAGCAGGCTCGCTGCCAAGCGTGAAAGCATGGCTCGTTTTCGAGCAAGACAGAGGGCGCCCCCGCATTAGGCGCCCGTGCTGGCAAACTGGACCGCAGGGGCAACAAGGACAGACTAAAATTGATTCGACTTAGGTTTGATTTTGTCCTCGGGGCCCCGAAAGGGAACAAACTGCTTCACGTCATACTTAAATGACTGAGTGCCTGACATCACTTCCAAAAGCAGCTCCCGATCGATACTCCTTCGTATGCCCTTCTGCGGTCATGTCTCTTGTGTCACACCACTGTACGTTATGCACTATACCTATATCCATGAGCTCACGTAACCAGCTGATATGTCCCAGCAAAGAACGTTCCGTCGGTATCATAAGGTCTTTGCTGGATAACGATTTGTATACAGACTCAGCGTCTATAGTAAGGGATACTTTGATAGCTAGGCCTCCAACTTCACGCATATCTCGTAGCTGTCGCGGGGTAAGTGCTCCGGCCTTGAGCTCGTGGAGAGTGATGAGCGTGGGGTAGCATGCATCAAGATTATGTGCAGCTGCAAGTGCCTCAGCGGCATAACTGGACCTCACTTGCGGTCGGTGTGACTTGCATAGTCCGTCGCAAAGGTGGACGACGGATTTGCCTTGGGGCGAGTTTCCTCGCCGTAATACGTGAGCCCCACGAAGACCGTAGCCCTTGGTTTCATCGTCCTCCTCCCCGGTGAAATTCCGATACCCCGAATCACTATGTATGTCTACTTCATGCGTTTCGGGCTGCTGATCAGCTTTCGCGTCACAGCATTCAGTCGCCTGACTTGTAAGTTAGTGGGCTCTTGGATGTTCTGGAGAGATACCACATACACCATGAGCCAGACTTGAGTAGGAGGGGCATAGGCGAGAGCTCCTCGCAGGCTAACGAACATGTCGGTGATGAGTTTGGTAGCTTTGGCGTCTGCCGCTGCTCCCGTAAGCTCAGGATGCGTGATAGGACGTAGTTGTTTAATAGACTCGTCCTGGTCCATGATCACATCCCCTTGTTCATTCTGCGTGTAGCGAACGGCGCAGTTCGCGTAAGAATGTTGAGCTTACATTTACCAAACACCTCCTCGACACGTTGTACATAGTCGTCTACGTTTTTTTCTCGAGGCCTGTCATAGTGATGTCGTCGACATGGTTTGCTGTTAACAGATCCTGACTGAATTCAAACTCAGGATCGTAGCTTGTCGGTGTAAGGCCTATAGCTCGCGTAGTCGCACGAAGCTCGAGGGAGAACGCTCTTGGGGCGTCCTTTGCACCCGTTCCTGGCTTGAGGCACCTGAGGCAGTGTCGGCTTTCATCATAAGAAGAGAAGCCTGGTAGGGTGCGAAGCACCTGGGCACTTCCTGGTGGAAGTGCGAAGCAAACCATGCGAGCTTCCTCGCCGGTGGCATGAGCAAGTTCCTCATTTGTCAGTCCTTTGAGGAACGCTTTGTCGATGTCCATAAATGCTAAGATCCATTCTGGATGACATGCCGCCTCACTTGCCAGAAGCCTCTGGGACTGTCTGCGGGCAGTCCCCGAGAAGGTTTCTACATCGAAAGCCTCCGTGTCCACGAATCCGCGGAGGACAAGTCTAAGACGGATAGTTTTAACATTCTCGGTGCCGATTTTCACAAACTTCGACTTGTATACATATCTGGATGTCATGATGTTGGAAGCTTTTGATAGGTCATACATCTCAAAGCATCGGTTGTCAAGCCAGATCTTGAATTCGGTGTACAAGGCTTCACTAACCTCTTTAGGATGTGCTGCTATGTCGGCTTTGGTGAGTAGGTCGTCTTCCTTGACTACCACAGCACGTTTAGCAGCCGATGATACGTATACTCTCATCGTTGCGACCATGTTTGGTTCGAGCTGTGCAAGTTGGGTCTGGATCCAACACGATGTTTGACATTTCTGGCGTGAAACATAGCTCGACATAGGGACCGTGTTCATCACTGCCAAGAGAATAGCCCTCGTCAGGTGTAGTCGATCATAAAGAGACAAGACAGGGCTCTTGTAGTTCAGGCTCGTCCCCGAGCATCTCCGACACAACGGTATCTTCCTCGTCCACAGATGCTGAGACCAAGACACATTGGTCGGGCAGCATGGTCGTTGGGACGCAGTAGAGATAGTCGTCGATAACCGTTGTGGGATGAAGGCCCATACGTAACTCATCGTACCACTCCTCCATCATCATAGCCTCGATGTCGGGTTCCTCGCTTTCTTCGCAGATTGTAGACAGGCGACCTTCACTTGGTGATGAAACACCTGGGGTGTCTGGAGGAGGCCTGTCTCCAGGCTGGTCGGGCCCTCCAGACGGTGTGTCCAAGTGTTGATACTTGGCAAGGTCGTCATGAAATCCTAGGGAAGGAACTTGCGACGTCAGGCACTGGATGAGTCTGGAGCGAGTGCTACCACTGATTTGAGAGATGTTTCAGGCCGGTGCCTACACACTCAGCATAGTGGAAGGCTGGGTGCACATCGTTGTCGTAGTGGATCAGTGTAGACCCGGTGGCGTACTTCACTGCAGGTAGATCGAGCACGCTCTTGGCCAATCTCACGGCTACTACGCGCTCAACTCGAAAAAATAATTTCGTACGAGATACTGCAGTGCAAGGTGCATGCGCGGGTGAAATTTGCTGTCGTCGGAAAGATTGAGGTTTCCCTTGTAGTCTGGAATATAGCCAAAGACTTGGGCAGGTTTCCCTGCACCAAGGTGTGCCACATATGTAAGGACGGTTTGCAAGGACATGTTGTCCGTGCCAAGCTCCCTG